CTAGTGATTCACCCGCCTTGGCCTCCCAAAGTGCTGGGATTACAGGCATAAGCCACCGCATTTGGCCTGTCCTCATGTTTCAAACCCAATCATGGCTTCCCAACGATCCCTCAAAGTCTCAACTCACTTCAGCATTAATCCAAAAGTCCACAGTCCAAAGTCTCATCTGAGACAAGGCAAGTACTGTCCACCTATGAGCCTGTAAAATCAAAAGCAAGCTGGTTACTTCCTAGATGCAGTGGGGATATAGGTGTTGGGCACATAAAGCCATTCCAAATGGGAGAAATTGGCCAAAACAAAGGGGTTACAGGCCCCATACAAGTCTAAAACCCAGCAGGGCTGCCCAATTTTAAAGCTCCAAAATGATCTCCTTTGACTCCAGGTCTTACATCCAGGCCATGCTGATGCAAGAGGTGGGTTCCCATGGTCTTGGGCAGCTCTGCCCTGGGGGCTTTGTAGGGTTCAGGCTCCCTCCTGGCAGCTTTAACAGGCTGGCAGTGAGTGTCTGCAGCTTTTCCAGGAGCATGGTGCAAGCTGTTAGTGGATCTACCATTCTGGGGTCTGGAGGACAGTGGCCCTCCTCTCACAGCTCCACTAGGTGGTGTCCCAGTAGGGACTCTGTGTGGGTGCTCTGACCCGATATTTCCCTTCCGCACTGCCCTAGCACAGGTTCTCCACCAGGGCCCCGCCCCCATAGCAAACTTTTGCCTGGGCATCCAGGTGTTTCCATACATCTTCTGAAATGCAGGCCGAGGTTCCCAAAGCTCAGTTCTTGACTTCTGTGCACCCACAGCCTCAATACCTCATGGAAGCTGCCAAGGTTTGGGGCTTCCGCCCTCCAAAGCCACAGCCCGAGCTCTACATTGGTCCCTTTCAGCCACGGTTGGAGTGGCTGGGACACAGGGCATCGAGTCCCTGGGCTGCACACACCATGGGGAACCTGGGCCCAGCCCAAAAAACCACTTTTTCCTCCTGGGGCCCCGGGCCTGTGATGAGAGGGGCTACCTCAAAGGCTTCTGACATGTCCTGGGAACATTTTCTCTGGGGTCTTGGGGACCAACATTAGGCTCCTTGCTACTTATGCAAATTTCTGCAGCCGGCTTGATTCTCTTTTAAAACTGAATGCTTTTAACACCACCCAAGTCACCTTTTGGGCCCTTTGCTGCTTAGACATTTCTTCCACCAGATACCCTAAATCATCTCTCTCAAGTTCAAAGTTCCACAAATCTCTAAGGCAGGGGCAAAGTGCAGCCATTCTCTTCACTAAACATAAAAAGAGTCACCTTTACTCCAGTTTCCAACAAGTTCCTCATCTCCATCTGAGACCACCACAGCCTGGACCTCATTGTCCATATCACTATTAGCATTTTGAGCAAAGCCATTCAACAAGTGTCTAGGAAGTTCCAAACGTTCCCACATTTTCCTGTCTCCTTCTGAGACCTTCAAACTGTTCCAACCTCTGGCTGTTACCCAGTTACAGAGTGGCTTCCACATTTTCTGGCATCTTTTCAGCAACGCCCCACTCAACTGGTACCAATTTACTGTATTAGTCAGTTTTCACACTGCTGATAAAGACATACCCAAGGCTGGGAAGAAAAGAGGTTTAATTGGACTTACAGTTACACATGGCTGGGGAGGCCTGAGAATCATGGCGGGAGGAGAAAGGCACTTGTTACGTGGTGGCAGCAAGAGAACACAAGGAAGAAGCAAAAGCGGAAACTCCTGATAAACCCATCAGATCTTGTGAGACTTATTCATTAAAATGAGAATAGCAGGAGAAAGACTGGCCATGATTCAATCACCTTCCCCTGTGCCCCTCCCACAACACATAGGAATTCAGGGAGATACATTTCAAGTTGAGATTCGAGTGGGGACACAGCCAAACCATATAAAATAGGGTAACATATGATTAATGAGAAAAGTACGAAAAACAAGAGCAACAAAAGACCAAGGAAAGTAGAAGGAAATAAGGTAAAAGCAGAAATCAGTGACAGGGGAAACAAGCATAAGGATCACAAAACCAGAAGTTGGGTGTTTGGAAGAAGAAGGAAATCGGTAAAAGTCTTGTGAGACCGGTCAAAAAAACAGGGGAGAAGGGCACGGCTATCAGGAAAGAAAAGGGAGAAGTCCGCACGAACGATGTTACGTCCCTTCTCATGTTGCTATGCAGAAACACCCATGACCGAGGCATTTATCAAGAAAAGAGCTCATGGTTCTGCAGGCTGTACAGGAAGCGTAACGGCTTCTGCTTCCGGGAGGACTCAGGAAGCTTGCCATCATGGCGGAAGGTGAAACAGGAGCAGGTGCTTGTTACACGGTAGGAGAAGCAGCAAGGGAGAGAGCAGGGGGAGGTGTCACACACTCGTAAACAACCAGACCCGTGAGAACTCACTCGAGACGGTGAGGACAGCACCAAGTGGATGCTGCTAAACCATTCCTGAGAAATCCAGCCCCGTGATCCTGCCACCTCCCACCAGGCCCCACCTATAACATTAGGAGTTACAGTTTGACACGAGACTTGCTGGGGACACAGATCCAAACCATGTCATATACAGACCCCCAGCGGTTAGAAGGAGGACACCTGGGGGAGCTGGGTATTCACACAGTGCCCATGCAGTAACAGCAGGTGGGCGATTCAATACAGAGAGCAGATGGCACCTTCACAATAGAGGAATCTGGAACAGCCCCCCGACCACATAGTCAAGATGAACATCGCCAGTCATGAGACAAACCGACATGGAGAATCTGCTGATGTCAGGCACCGAGAAGGGCAGCACGTCTGCTGTGCAGTAGTCCTGCCAAAAATGTTCAACCTACCTGAGTCTAACCACAAGGAAGCCACTAGACAAACCCAAGCTCCAGGGCTTCCTGACGACAACGGCACTGGCTTCAAGCACACTTTACACATTGCCTGAAAGCACACTTCAAGGGACACCGAAGCGACTTGATGGGCCGGGAACCACGGCTCAATACCTGTAATCCCAGCACGTCAGGAGACCTAGGTGGGTGGATGGCTTGAGATTAGGAGGTCCAGAGCAGCCTGGGCAACACGGTGAAACTCCGCCTCTACAAAAAAGTATTTTAACAATTAGCAGGGCATATCGGTGTGCGCTTGTAGTCCAAGCTACTCAGGAGGCTGAGGTGGGAGGATGGCTTGAGCCTGGAGGTCGAGGCTGCCGTGAGCTGGGTTTGCGACATTGCACACCAGCCTGGGTGACAGAGGGAGATCCTGTGTCAAAAGAGACCTGACAACTAAATGCAAAGCATGATGTTTGATCGGAAAGACAATTTTGTTAGAAAGCAGCCTTGAGGGATACTGCGGCACCGTGGGGACAATCGGAAAATGTTTCTTGTCATGGTACAGTATAAAATTGTATGGTCTCAATGTTACATTTTCCTGAGTGTGATGATGGCATTAAGGTTTTGTGGGAGGCCATGCCTTCTTTTAGACGATGCACGCTGCAGTATTTATGGAGGATGGAGCTTAATGACTCAAAGGGATCTCAAATGATTCCACAAAACAAGGAAAAATACAAGCAGGCACACACACACAGAGAAAGACAGGAGGGGGCAGGATGGAGGGAGGGATGAAGCAAATGTGAGAAAATGGTAACACCTGGAGGATCCTGTAGACGAACGTACGTACGGATGCTCCTTGCGCTTTCCCTGCAACTCTCCCATAGCTCCCTAATTTTAACAAAAGCAATCTGGGATCCAGGGGGCATTCCGGACCATTTTATTCCAGTCAGCTTGAAAACAAAGAAAAAGGTCACCAGTCGCTAGGAAACAAAACCTGCCCAAACTGACGTGAGAAGGAATAGCCAACCTGAACAATTCCAGAATCGTTGCAGAAAGATGTCAGTCGTCATAGGCTTTCCACGAATACACTCCAGGAACCCCAGCACATTCTGGCAAACATCCTAGGAATACACATCTTCCCTCTGACACAAACTTGTGCAGAAAACTGAAAGGGAGGAACAATCCTCCACTCACTGTGTGAGCTTGGCATAACCTCGATACCAAACCCCGCAAGGTCACGTAGAGAAACGTTGCAGGTCACTCAAAGGCTCATGACATAGAAGCAAAAGTCAAAACCAGACTCTTAGCACACTGAATCCTACAGGATAGAAAAGGAAAATACCTAATATGGCATGACATATATTGGCTCCATCCCAGAAATACGAACTTAATTTCCCTTCAGAAAATAAACAGCTACAATAATCCACATTAACGGATTCAGGGAGAGAAATATGCTCTTCTTAGTCACAAAAGTATTGACTAAATGGCAATATCCATTCGAGATGTAGTGTTGACAATTTTTTTCCCAAAAAGTCAGGTCTCTTGGGCTATAATTTTTACAGAGTTCTACGGGATTTTGTGAATGCATAGGGCTGTGGAAACACCAGCACAGTATATATATATATAGATATAGAGCATCGCCATCCCTTCCAGCTTCCCTGGCGCCCTCTGGTAGTGAACTCCTGGTCTTAACCCTCAGATCCTGGCAATCACCTATCTGTTTTCTGTTCCTAGGGTTTTGCCTTTTCCAGAATGTCATATAAACGGAATCACGTGGTACGTAGCCTGTGCCTTCGGCTTCCTTCAGAGGAGACTGTGACCGCAATTCGACAAAGTAGCAATGCATAGTTTCGTGACCTGGGTAGTAGTTACCTGGCTTGATCACCTTATAACTCCTTGTTAAAAGACTGGCTTCTGAGTTCTTTCCGTGTGTGTGCGTGTGTGTGTGTGTGTGTGTGCGCGTGTGTTTGTGTGTGTGAGTGTGAGAGAGAGAGAGAATGTGTCTGTGTGTGTTATGTTTAAAAAACATAATTTACTTTCAACTGCTTCTGACTTATTTATCTTGGTGTGGGTTATTAAATGGCAATTATGAATCCTTTAGAGAAAGTGAGTGATCATTGGAAAACTCAGCAGAGTGATTACCTCTGGGGTGTGCAGGGGGGAAGTAGTGATCGGGGTGGGGCAAACTGAGGGTTCCAAATGCTGCCAACCTTCTGTTCTTTGCTCTGCATGGGAGTGGCCCGGACTTCAACACTGTACAACCACAGGGGCTCCATTCACGCTGGATCATGTGAATGGGGCACCCTGGAATCCTGCAGATAGAGTTGGCACGGCCACCCCGGCGGCCACAGCCTACGCGACCGTACCTGGCAAACACGGGTGCTGGCTTCATCCTTCGAGGAAACGGATGATAAGAACACGTGTGGGGGAAAGGAGGCATTATTGGCGTGGAGGTTGAGGACAGATGTGCATGAGGTTGTCCGAGTTCACCCAGGAGTGTGTTCCAGGTGGGCTAAAGTCCATGGCTGTTACTCACCATGGCCACTGTGATCCTATGATTGCCATCTCACATCCCCGTCTGGGGTGCCCTGGGCCTGCACCACAGCCTGGACGGCCACCCTTGGGGACTCTGGCTGGCAGGCGTCCGAGGAGACTCACCTTTGGCTCTAGCTGGAGCCTGAAGAGGACACGCTCTTTTCGGCCGGCAGAGTGACAGTTCCCATCTGCAGATGTCCCTGTGGGAGCCCTGGCACCTGGTGCAGGTGGGATTCTGCTCAGGGCTCCACCACTGCAGCTGCATCAAGGGCAGGCACGCAGCTCGGCAGACCTCCGGAGCCCGTCAGAGCTGAGTGGCAGGACAAGGCAGGAGAGGGTCTAAGGCTCTCCCGGCCAGGCCCCACGTTCCTCTTGGTGGGAGAGGAGGCTTGAGGGAAAAGGAAGAGGGGGGCAGTGAATGAGGAGAGGGGTCGACCTCTTCCTCTCCACTGGGGTCCAGGTGGATTCCTCTAATCTCAGGAGCCTCGGATTCTGCACTTCTTTCCCCTAGAAACGGAAAGCTCCACCTGACCATGGCCTGGGGCATACACTTTAGAGCCCCATTACTGTGCGGGAGGCGATCTGAAAATGGAACTGAGTTGGTGGAAGCGGGGCTGGCAGATCTAGCCACTGAGGGATGAGTTCACGCCTTCCACGACTTCGTCCGTGGGCTTCTCCCGTCCCACACCCTGTCGATCATGGCCCATTATCCCTGGAGCAGCGCTTGGGGCTGGAGTTCTGTCCCCACCAGAACCCACCTCGATGTCTCCGGTGGCAAAAAACCAAAGCTGGAGAGTCCCTGACACGTGTCTTCCCCTTGACACCAGCCCGTTGTGCTACCGGGCCAAAGCTTTGACCCTGACATGCTTCTTGAGAATTGAGCACTCCTCTGTGTATGCTGGGTGCTTTGCGTGCATCACGACATTTACTGTCCGAAACTGATGAGCTGCCGGCAGCTCTCCCCTTGACCCCCTTACAAATAGGACACTAGGGCTCAGAGACATGGCTCTCCTTGGAAAGTAGGTGCCCGGCCAGAGGCGGCAGGACAGGAACAAAGAGATGGATCAAAGAGCTACAGTGCACCCTGGCCCCAAGACCCGACCAGAGTGCAGCCACCCAGTCAAATGACCCGTGTGGTGGCAAACCAAGAGCCTCTGTCACCACTGGTTAAAGTCCAGAGGCCTGGCCCAACAAGGGGTGCGCTGGTTGGCGGAGACGGGACCAATGAGAAGGTGCGAGGCCGTCGTCTAGGGCACAGGGAAGCCACGCGCTGTCTTCTACTTCCACCTGGGGTGAGCGTCACTGTTTCTGTCAAGTGACCCGCTTGGCTGGGTTCTGCTCTCCCCTCCCCCATTCCGCCGTTACCAGGACGACTGTCTCCCCACAGCCCAGGCTGCCGGGACTGACACCATGAGCTCGCCTGACGAGGTGCCTGTTTGGGGGACCCATTTGGACCTGGAGGGTGGCGAGCAGGCTGGCGCCCTCACGGTCAGCCCCAGAGCCCCACGGGGCCATGGCCACGGCCTGTATTTCAGGGTGCTGCACAGCTGCAAGGGCGAGGGCGAGGGCGAGGGTGGGTTCGCAGATCCGGGGGGCATCAGTGTGGAGTCAGACAGCGAACTGATAGAGGAGGGAAGGGTGGTGCTCTGGGGCCGGGAAGCCCCGCCTGGCAACCCGGTCGACGACCAAAGGGACGGTGTGGAATACTCGTCTTGCCTGGCCAAGGAGCCAGCCGCCATCGTGCCGCCCACCAGCGTCCAGGGACACCCGTCCCCAGAAGGCGCTGCTGCCAAAGGGTCAGCTGACAACTGGGCGGGACCGGAGGTCCGTCCCAGTGAGAGAGGCTTGCTGGGCCCCAGGCCTGGAAAAAGGCATCATGCCTCCGCCCGCCCTCTCCACCTCACTGGTCCTAGGGCAGGCCCGGCCTGGCAGCACCTGCAAAGGGGCTCGAAGAGCACGTGGAGAGTCCGCGTGGATCTCCAGCAGCCCTCCGCCAAAGGCCCCGCCGTGCTGTCTGTGGAAGACTCTGATTCCACAGATGAGAGCTGCGACTTGCGGCCGATGAGGGTGGGCATTCACCGCAATGGAGGGAGCCAGGCCAAGCCCCAGAGCCCCAAGAAAACAGCAGGCGCACGGAGGCACCGCAGGCAGAGTTTCTCGCTGGTGCCGGGCCCTTTCCTGACCTCTGCTCCGCGCGGACTCACTCCACTTGTGGAGAGGCCGGCTGTGGGAGAGCTGGAGAACTCTCCCTGGAAGAAAATACACAGCCGGGCCCGGGGAAATGTGGAGGTCAGGCCCAGCTACTCAGGAGCTGCCACGGCAGGGGCCCTGCCCCGGGGCCCTCGGAGGAGGAAGACGGCCCAGGAGAAGAAGTCCCAAGGAGATGCCTCTCAACTGGCCCTGGGGAGAGCCTTGCCTATCTGCCTAGAGAGACTCTCAGCCACTCCCCAGGAGCCGGCCACCTTCCCGCCATTCTTAGGTGTGCGGCGCAGGGGATGTCCAAGAAACCCCAAAAGCCTAAGCACAGCAGCCCTACCAGGAGGAGAGCCACAGGAAGTGGGACCAGGGAGTCCCAGGCTGCGGCCAGAGAGGATAATGACACACATAGAGAGGACATCCCAGGGGCCCAAGTGAGTAGACCCTTCTCGCCCTCCTCTCCCTCTTCAAACTCCTCCTCCTCTGTCTCCCCCCCATGCCTCCTCTCTTCCAGCACACACCTGTTTACCCATGCCCCGTCTGTCCCTTGCTCAAGAGTTGTTATCGGGAGCCCAGGGACACTAGAATGCCGGATCGGGGTCTTTGTCGTAGTGGTACACATTAAAGGGAGCACTTGGTGTGTGACGGGCAGGTCCTGCCTCCTCCCGCAGAGAGGAGCTGGGATGGAAGGCAGGGCTGGCAGCTGGTTTGGATGGGGTGGCCCCTTCAAGTGTGGGCACAACCCTGGGCCGTCTAGGCTCATCAACTTCCGGATTCCTCCTTCCGTAACTGTTGCCTGAGCCAGCTGGCAGGGGGTCCCCGGGCTATCCCACTATCCCCAGTGTTTTCCCAGGCTGGGCTCTGCCTCCTGGCCTGGGGCTGACTGAGGGAGAAAGTGCTAATGAGATTAGGCTCCCGAGTCTCCACCTTACCACAACCCCTCCCGACGTGCACTCACCGCCTGCCCCCACTGCCGGTGTGACTCAGAAATTTCTGTTTTAGCCTCCCCCACAGAGGCCAGGGCTGTCTTGCCCTTGCATGCATTGTGGAGAATTCAGCAGTGGCGACCCCAACATCAAACCTCCGCAAGTTCCAGGAACTTCAGAGCCCTCGGCCTACAGCCTGGGAGGCCTCCTGCCCAGACGCCGTGCCCACTCCAGTGATCACATCTCACCGGTTTGATGGGGTGGAGGGGAGAGGGGTCGGGGAGGGAGGGAAACCTCTGGCTCTGTCGCTTCTGGGGGCTCAGCCTTGTTCCCAGGCTTCCCTTCCCACCCAGGCAGCTGTCCCATGGAAAACAGGCTGTCGATGGGGCCGGCTTTAAGCCACCTCGTTGTCTCTGAGGGGGGGTTTGTGTGATGAGGGGCGCTTTGGAGCAGCGCCCCAAACTCCAACTCTGGAAGGAGACTTTCGGCGGCACCAAGCCCTTTTCTGTTAAGTCCTGCTCAGCCACACTGGCCCTCCCTGGGCCTGCCTATGGCTGCTGCGCTGCTGGCGTCCAACCGGGAGTCACAGCGTAGGGGGCCACAGGTGCAGCACATGGGCCCACACTGGTGAACAGGGAAGACGGTCCCACAGGGAGACTTGGAGCTGCTGGGCAGAGCAAAGCCAACGTGTTGCCAGCAGAGGGTGGTGCTGCCTCAGGTTAGACACCGCTAGGCCCTTTCCACCTCACTGTGAGGGTTAGAAGCTGGATTTTCTGTTCTCTTTCAGGTGACCATCAGCCAGCTGTCCATCCTCCAACACCGGAAAGGCAGCAGCCACCTCCGGGAGCCCAGAAATGTCTCCGGGTAATGCTTTGTGTGGCTCCTGGAAATAGAGGTCCACACTGGGTGGTGGGATCCGTGTCCCAGTTAAACTGATTTCTGTATCCCCCGGCGCCCCATGCGCCATGCCCCAGCCTCCACCTCCCACACCTTATGGAGGGGAGATGCCTCTTTTCGACTGAGGGTTCCGTACCAACCCACCTCACCACTGGGCTGCAGGCTATGTGGGGCTGTAAGGGCCGGGGGAGAGAGGGAGGACGAGGAGAGAGGGAGCCAGAACTGACCGATCACTTCTCTTCCTCCGGTGTCTAGCGGTCTAGTGCATATGGCTACAGAGGGAAATTGACCGTCTTACAGAGCAGTTAGGTATGACGGAGCCCTGGCTGGGGCAGGGGTGGGCAGCGCTGTCTTTCTGCAGGTGCCGAGGGTGGGGGTGGGGTGCAGGTGCAGGCGGCATCACCGGGACTGACTTTCCTCTGGGGAAGAGAACCAAGCAGGCCTGGCCCTGGAGCCTTCTGTGCCTTTCCAGCTGGGGGTGTGCACAGACAGCAATGTGTCGTCTGAACTCCGTGTACACTTTGTCCACCAGTCCCAGAGATCTCCTTCTCTTGGGGCCATTAGAGATACCGCATGTGTTTTCCCTTTAACCGCTGCCTGGTACGGCGCGTGCGGTTTTTGCTTGGTGGCTGGCGTATCTGTCTCGGAAACACATTCTGAACGGTTCTGGGATGCCCCAACACCTGAGAACCACTTTCCTGCTTAGAAGGCATTTCCACCCTTACTTGAGGTTGACCGGTGGGTGAGTCAGTCCCAGGGCCGCTGGGGTTTCAGGTTGCAGGGCTAGGCGGTTGGTTCCCCATGGGGGCAGGGGGTGGATTTCTGTTTCCCTGGGTCTGGAGTGCCCGGTTCTGCCTCTAGTTTCAGGAGCCATGAGCTGCTTTGACTTTTGAAGTGTGTTGAACACATCATGCCCCTTGCCACGATCTCAGTAGCATAGGAGGGCTGTGGGCTGGCCCTGGCTGGAGACCCGTGCCTGAGCCTCTCTCTTTCACAGAATGGAGTCAGAGTCTTCCAGTAAGGCAAGCAGCTGCTACCTCTGGAGCCCCAGACCTGTAGCCAAGCTGCTTTTCTCGGTATCCTCTTCCACTACAGCTGCCTCCCTTCCACTGCAATGCAGTTCAAAGCAGTTTCAAATAAAGTCATTCTCATATCCTGTGGTCTGTGGTCTGCCCTCTCTGCGATTGTTGGGAGTGTTGAGGGGTGTGGGATGTTGCTTTTTTCCCTGGCTCTGGAAGAACAGTTTCCCTGGAACTCTGCAGTGGGCTCCTGGGCCGGCCTCTGGGCAGCAGCCCTGCACGGGGCTCACCATAGTGCCCTGGGCCCAGGTGCCGTGGGGGCCTTGCTCGGCCACAGGAGCATTTTCTCCCTTTCCTGGACACGCACTGCTCATGGTCCCTCCTCTTCTCCTACTTTGGGGTCTCACAGGTCCCCTTCTGCAGCACTATTCTCCCTCACCTTCAGTAGGCACTGAAAGCCTCCTTCCAGAATCCCAATCTCTCTCGCCTTTCCTCCTGCGGTTCACTCTGTCCCGGTTCTGCACTGTCACTGTCCTTTCCATCATGAGCATCCTTGCTCTCCCCAGTGGGTTGACGCCGGTGGCCTTTTCCGAACGGTTATTTCCGTGCATGGAACACAGAACATGACGGAGCTCATCCTCCCTCTCACTCTCAGGGGCCCAGTCCTCTTTCTGGCGCCATTATGTCTCTCTGGTGCCACCACACACGCGGTCAGGTCATCCGGTTCAGAAACCCAGGCGGCATCCTCAGTTCCTCTCTCCGGCCTCACAGTTGAACCTCAGTTACCAAATTCTATCAGGTCTCCTCCTTAGTGTCAGTCGCCAGGTGGGGGCAGAAGCCACATCCTGGTGGGTGGCTGAGCCAAAGGGAAGGTTCAAAGAGCAGGGAAGTAAAGGACCCGGTAGTCTCTTGGTTGGAGGTGGGGGCGCTGCGTCTGCTCTGGTGCCCTTGGGCCAACCTGGTGGACACTGCCTGCCAGCAGCTACACGAGAGGCGGCTTCCACATCCTTGGTGTCCTGTAGGTGGCCAACAGCCCTTTCTGCAGCCAGTGGGTCCATACCGTTGATTTGAAAATGGCCAGCCGCTTCCCAGGTCAAATGTGGTTACTAGGCCTGGCTGTTCTTAGATGGTCCCTGTCAAATATAGTTCCACTACCCCCAGGCCACAGGCTTTTGTGGACGTGACATTTCCGCATTCCCGCTCAGCCTTCCAGACCACCTCTCGAGGTCACATGAGATCATCGAGCTGCCTGTTCTGCCTTGACCCACACTGACAGTTGGGATTGCCGCCTTCCTTCTGCTGGAATCCTTGGCTGGGTGGGCCCCAGACTTGGGCACACTTTCCGGTTCCAGTGAGGAAGTGCATGTAGGTTCTGCCAGCACCCGCCGACAAGAGACTGGGTATTGAACAGATGAAGACAATAGGAATACAGATACCATTCAGGGTTTGTGTGTGTGTGTGTGTGTGTGTTTGCACACGTGCGCGTGCACACACACACACAAGCACCCGCTTGAGAATTAAATTAATTGGGGGTGCTCTCCTTTGAGGGACAACTGGCCAATTCATGGAGTTGAGGCAGTGTTGAAGGATCCGTGAAGGAAGGAATGTGCAAACGCAGGGCTGGGATCTACCTTTCACAAGAAGTGTTGTTCAGTTCTAACACCTAGGAGGGCGTGGAGTGTGACAAAGGGGACGTCCCCTCACGCAGGGATGGGCGTCGGAGCTCCCAGATGGCTGGAGTCGACACAGTAGGTTCCCGATCCTCTGTGGGATGGAATGCAGGTCTCAGCACTCCCTTGTGTGGGTGCAGTGATAATGCCTCAGAGTCACCAGAGGGTGCCTCATCTAGGAAGCAGGGAGCTCCTGTGGGGGGGGGTACCACGGCTTCAGATAATTGAGACACGGGCAGGATGGGCACAGTGAGGGTGGAAAGCGGGAAAGAGGGACTACTCTGAGTCATCTGGTCAGGCTCGGTACGGCCTTCCCCCATACTCTCATCGTGTCTCCCTGCCGGGCCTGTGGTGTGAGCTCAGTGAGGGGGGCCATCACCCACGGGGTTGGCCAATTACAGGGCTCAGACACAGAAATGAATGGTGCTGGGAACCTACCCCATCCCCAACAAACCCCTGGCCTCAGAGGCTGGGCTGGGCTTGATTCCTCGGGTCAATGCTTCGACCCTGATGCAGGTGATTGTTTCCTGTGGGGATAACACAGCGGGCTGGTGTCTGGGGGAAGACGTGTGTCAGTGACTCTCCAGCTTGGGTTTGTAGCCACCAGAGACATCTAGGTGGGTTCTGATGGGGGGCAGACCTCCAGCCCCAGCCACTGCCCCAGGGGCATGGGCCATGGTCAACAGTGTGTAAAAGCGGAGAAGCCCGTGCATGGAGTCGTAGAAGGCGAGAACCCATCCCTCGATGGCTACGTTTAACAGCCCCGCCTGTCAGCACACAACCTCAGCTCCATATTCAGAGCACCTCCCACACCGTAATAGGGCTCTAACATGTATACCCCAGGCCATGGTTGGGCAGAGCCTTCCGCTACTAGGGGAAAGAAGTGCAGAATCCGAGGCTCCTCGGATGAGAGGAATTCATTGGGCCCCAGTGGAGAGGAGGAGGTTGAGCCCCTCCCCTCGTGTAGTGCCCCACACGTGTTCTTATCATCCGTTTCCTCGAAGGATGAAGCCAGCACCCGTGTTTGCCAGGTACGGTCGCGTAGGCTGTGGCCGCCGGGGTGGCCGTGCCAACTCTATCTGCAGGATTCCAGGGTGCCCCATTCACATGATCCAGCGTGAATGGAGCCCCTGTGGTTGTACAGTGTTGAAGTCCGGGCCACTCCCATGCAGAGCAAAGAACAGAAGGTTGGCAGCATTTGGAACCCTCAGTTTGCCCCACCCCGATCACTACTTCCTCCCTGCACACCCCAGAGGTAATCACTCTGCTGAGTTTTCCAATGATCACTCACTTTCTCTAAAGGATTCATAATTGCCATTTAATAACCCACACCAAGATAAATAAGTCAGAAGCAGTTGAAAGTAAATTATGTTTTTTAAACATAACACACACAGACACATTCTCTCTCTCTCTCACACTCACACACACAAACACACGCGCACACACACACACACACACACGCACACACACGGAAAGAACTCAGAAGCCAGTCTTTTAACAAGGAGTTATAAGGTGATCAAGCCAGGTAACTACTACCCAGGTCACGAAACTATGCATTGCTACTTTGTCGAATTGCGGTCACAGTCTCCTCTGAAGGAAGCCGAAGGCACAGGCTACGTACCACGTGATTCCGTTTATATGACATTCTGGAAAAGGCAAAACCCTAGGAACAGAAAACAGATAGGTGATTGCCAGGATCTGAGGGTTAAGACCAGGAGTTCACTACCAGAGGGCGCCAGGGAAGCTGGAAGGGATGGCGATGCTCTATATCTATATATATATATACTGTGCTGGTGTTTCCACAGCCCTATGCATTCACAAAATCCCGTAGAACTCTGTAAAAATTATAGCCCAAGAGACCTGACTTTTTGGGAAAAAAAATTGTCAACACTACATCTCGAATGGATATTGCCATTTAGTCAATACTTTTGTGACTAAGAAGAGCATATTTCTCTCCTGAATCCGTTAATGTGGATTATTGTAGCTGTTTATTTTCTGAAGGGAAATTAAGTTCGTATTTCTGGGATGGAGCCAATATATGTCATGCCATATTAGGTATTTTCCTTTTTCTATCCTGTAGGATTCAGTGTGCTAAGATTCTGGTTTTGACTTTTGCTTCTATGTCATGAGCCTTTGAGTGACCTGCAACGTTTCTCTACGTGACCTTGCGGGGTTTGGTATCGAGGTTATGCCAAGCTCACACAGTGAGTGGAGGATTGTTCCTCCCTTTCAGTTTTCTGCACAAGTTTGTGTCAGAGGGAAGATGTGTATTCCTAGGATGTTTGCCAGAATGTGCTGGGGGTTCCTGGAGTGTATTCGTGGAAAGCCTATGACGACTGACATCTTTCTGCAACGATTCTGGAATTGTTCAGGTTGGCTATTCCTTCTCACGTCAGTTTGGGCAGGTTTTGTTTCCTAGCGACTGGTGACCTTTTTCTTTGTTTTCAAGCTGACTGGAATAAAATGGTCCGGAATGCCCCCTGGATCCCAGATTGCTTTTGTTAAAATTAGGGAGCTATGGGAGAGTTGCAGGGAAAGCGCAAGGAGCATCCGTACGTACGTTCGTCTACAGGATCCTCCAGGTGTTACCATTTTCTCACATTTGCTTCATCCCTCCCTCCATCCTGCCCCCTCCTGTCTTTCTCTGTGTGTGTGTGCCTGCTTGTATTTTTCCTTGTTTTGTGGAATCATTTGAGATCCCTTTGAGTCATTAAGCTCCATCCTCCATAAATACTGCAGCGTGCATCGTCTAAAAGAAGGCATGGCCTCCCACAAAACCTTAATGCCATCATCACACTCAGGAAAATGTAACATTGAGACCATACAATTTTATACTGTACCATGACAAGAAACATTTTCCGATTGTCCCCACGGTGCCGCAGTATCCCTCAAGGCTGCTTTCTAACAAAATTGTCTTTCCGATCAAACATCATGCTTTGCATTTAGTTGTCAGGTCTCTTTTGACACAGGATCTCCCTCTGTCACCCAGGCTGGTGTGCAATGTCGCAAACCCAGCTCACGGCAGCCTCGACCTCCAGGCTCAAGCCATCCTCCCACCTCAGCCTCCTGAGTAGCTTGGACTACAAGCGCACACCGATATGCCCTGCTAATTGTTAAAATACTTTTTTGTAGAGGCGGAGTTTCACCGTGTTGCCCAGGCTGCTCTGGACCTCCTAATCTCAAGCCATCCACCCACCTAGGTCTCCTGACGTGCTGGGATTACAGGTATTGAGCCGTGGTTCCCGGCCCATCAAGTCGCTTCGGTGTCCCTTGAAGTGTGCTTTCAGGCAATGTGTAAAGTGTGCTTGAAGCCAGTGCCGTTGTCGTCAGGAAGCCCTGGAGCTTGGGTTTGTCTAGTGGCTTCCTTGTGGTTAGACTCAGGTAGGTTGAACATTTTTGGCAGGACTACTGCACAGCAGACGTGCTGCCCTTCTCGGTGCCTGACATCAGCAGATTCTCCATGT